ACAATTTTAAAAGACAGAGAAAAATATTGGAAATATGATGATGATGCAAAGGATTTCCAGCTATTCTATGCAGGATTAAGATTTGAGGATTAAAGCATTATATCTCATGCTTCCTGAAATAAAATTATTTGTTGCTGAGGTCAGGAAGATGTTTCTTATGCAGCACATGACTGTACAATGAATTACTTATGAATCGTATCACCCTTATTTCATACGTATTCCATTTTGCAGAAATCTGATTGTGGTCTCTCTGGCAAGCTCATTCTAACATACCTGCACTTGCTGCATAAGATTTGTAGGATATTATGAAGATCTGTGAAGGAAAAAAATCGCTTTCAACAGTGATTTTTCCTTTGTTTCCATACAATGATGTTTCTAATTTGTATAATTGCTGTTGTGAGAGAGCATTTTGTTATTTTTAATTGACAGTGGATTCGCAGTTAAAATGCATGAGTGTTTAACATATTCTAAGTAGCTGCTTTCCTAGTTTTACCAAAATGCAGTTGTCTTGATCAAGATACAGTTGAAAATTCCATTTAAACCCCAAATACAGAAGGTTAATTTAAAGATCTGAAACTTGATTTTTCATCTGGTTTACATTAACATAACTCCATTGACTTCAGAATAATTGTTATTGATATTAATCAGTATAAGCTAAAGGAGACTGGACTTTTTTACTTAGAAAAACTGGGTGTTGTTTTGTTTTTTAATTTCAGCTTCTTACAAAAATGGAAAAGCTCCCCATAGAATGGAAATTATGAGCAGTACGGATTTTCAGGCAATCAAAACATTTTAATGATCTCATTAAATGTATAATTTACAACATATATATGTTAAAAGAAATATGTTCCTTTGGGTTAGTAGAAGCACTGGGTACACAATGTGTTTGAACATGTCAGGCTTCCACTAGAATCTATGCCAGAACTGTAGAAACTTGTACAGGAAAAAAAAAAAAAAAGCACCCTTTTTATTTTGCCAGCATCTTTAGTGACAGAAACCTTTTAATCATATTTGATGCAAAAGGAAGAAAAAAAATTCATGGCAACTTGATAGACTGTGCTAGGATAGGTAAGTATTGCTATTAAATACTATCAGATCTTATTCTTTGATATTACTAGGATTCATGATGGATGATATTATGCATGAAACAACTAGTGTTCTACAGGGATGGCAGTCTTCCTAAGACCACAGTTTTGTCATCTGTTGAGTTTTAGTGTGTAGCCATGAGAGCCTGGAAAATGAGGATTCTTCAAAGAAATAGTTGCTATAACAGTGGCTCTTAAGCTGCTCATCCATAAATGAAATACACAGACACATCAAAGCATCCTTTACTACCTCTGCCAGATCTTTGCTGTTGCAGTACAGCAATCCCAGTTCTGTCAGTAGCAAAGCAAACCAGAGCATGATGTGGCCCATAGTGGTTTGGATGTATTTGCTGCAGAGATAACTCTGAAAGGCAGTTAGCCCAGCATGTTCAGCCCTACCCTAGGGAGCAAGAATGACTCTTGTAGGAGTCATGACATCATGTAGGATGGTGAGCTCCCTGAACCCTCCCACATTTTGAAGAATTGTTCAGAGAAGTCAAAATGCATCACACATGTAGTAGTTTTGAACACTCCATGTTCGTTTGTACTAGTTGTGAGCAGTGAAATGTGTTTAACAAAGCCTCCCTGACCTGAGAAAGCAGTACAAAGCCAGGAGACAAACGTCTCTGACACCTCTTGTCCCTGCCAATGTAAGCTGGTTTCTCTTGCTGCCACCAACAATTTTCCATGCAAATTAGTAATGTTAGTAGCATAATACAGCAGATCTTCTTCAGCTGTGATAGCTGGTGGCATTTTAGCTGCTGCATCGTCTTGATCTGATGAAAATCAATGTAAAGGGTGAAATGTTTATCACACTGGAAGCTCTGTTGATTCTTTTGCTGTCACTAACTAGCCATTCTGTGAAGGAAAGAGCTCTTGTAGGTTCAACATTAGCAAGTCCTCAATACCTCCTGAGGAAGAAGGAAGCTAACCATTTCTGTGTCTCAAAAGATGCTTTGTATTCAGTTATATAAGAATATCTGTAGCACTCTGCCTAGACCTTTTAGATAGAATCATTCCTGAGGAAAGAGACATTACGTCTGCCAAGTTTCAGGCCAAAGCAAGATTTTATAGCCTGATTGCAAACCCCTAGGACAGGACTCTATAATGGAAATGCTGACATAGTCGTAACGATTTTGTATGACTCCAGTGGGTATCAGCTTAAATTCTAGTTATGATGTGCATTTAGTGGCATGGGATCAAACATATAGAGTAATGGGATATTTTAAGATACTGTGTTTGAAGAGAATCAGTATTTAAACATTATTTATGAACCATATCATTTAAATGCTTCTGAAATGTGCCATTCAGTCCTTGGTTGCATGAAAAAAAATAATCTCATTTTCTCAGAATAAATAGTAACATAGTTTTATTCAACAGCTTTAATTCTGAGGCTTTTCCAAGAAGATAGTTGGTATTATTTTGTTGAACTCTTACTGGAATATTTCTGGAAGATAAAGTTTTTAATGTTTCACTGTAATGCTCTGTAGTTCTTCACTTCAGTATTTTGGTGTATATTATGATTTTGCTTGGAGAAAGTCTTCAGAGATCATTTCTCTCCAGTTATCAGTGAATCTGGAAGATTTTTGTGTTTGTGACAGCAAGTTCAGCAAGGAACAGCATCTCCTTGTATTTGCTGTTTTGTGCTAGAGGAGTCTGCTTTTTCCTGTGCAGTATCCTTCATATGTTTCAAGCTAAGTTGATAGTGTAAAAATTGTCTCTGTCTCACACACACAACCCAATATATGCTCTTTTTCTTTATGCTATCAAAGTGGTTGCTCCAAAATGGAAGCTGACATTCATTAGCTGTTTCGGTTGACAGTAAAACTCACTTTAATGCAGATGATGACTAGAACTCTCACTTCTTTCACTGCAAATGGGAATGTAGTGTTGAAAGCAGCCAGTTTTGCTCGTTATGATGTTGCAGTCTGAAACATAAAGCCGTATACCTTATCCTAGAAAAAAACACTTCTGCTTCAACTGTTATTTACAGAAAAATAAAGCTAATTGAAATTCTATTCGTGCAGAAGGTTAGGAAGTTTCAGAGCTAATCCTTGTAAGTCTGTGTAATAGTTTGAATCTATTTTTAATTAATCAGTAATAATCTGTGTGAAACTCTCAAAGCACTCTGATAACGTTAAATATTGAAATAATCTTTGAAGAAGTGCCAGTCTGACTAAGCCAATGAGACTCTGTCAGTGGTTTCTGTTAAGCCGGAACTCCTCTCTCTCTGCAAGCCTGTCCAGCCAGAAACAGGGGAACCACAGTACTTTGCTTTCAGAAATTGCAATAGCAGAGTCACAGTGTCAGTGCTGTGGTTTGCACTAGTTTATCTTTGGGACAATCATGTTTCTCCTATTTAATATGCAGAGTCCAGTGTGGAAGAAGGTTTGGGTTTTCTTCCTGTAGTTGACTCACTTGTCCAATTTTTGAGGAATATTGCTATGAAAAAGACTCTCCGTAATATTTTATTTCTGAGATTTTGCAAATCACATTACTTCGTAAGCTTCCTTTAGATAAGGATACTTTTCAGGGAATATGGAAAGTATATGATTTTCCTCCTTTAAAAAAACAGCACAAACTGATGATACATTCTAAATGGCTAGTAACTAGAATTCCTACTAGTTCAGCATTTTAAATAACATTAAAATTCCATCTTACACCTGTGGTATCATCTTATATTTTATTTTTTATTTTTTATTTTTTTCTTACTTTTGGGTAAGTCAAATGATAGAAAAAGGTACCGTAGTGCTATTGACTTTACAGGAAAAATAGTAGTCTGAAAAAGACACTTCACATTATTTAATAAATTTGCAGCAGCCTATCATTTGACAGGAAACAGAAAATATTGAGATGCATATCTCAAGAGCAGAGTTCCATAATGAAAAAACACTACATACATGCATTGACTGTACAAGCTGAACTACTTTGGACTTTTGAAATTTGCTAAGAGCATTTTTCAAGTGCAGTCATTTCCACTAAATTTCCTGCTTTCCATTTGGATGAGGTATCATCTGTCAGCACTCAATCATTATTTTTTTTAGCTATTAAAAAGGCATGTAATTTTAATTTTTGTGGTCCATTAGAGTGCAAATGCCATTGGGCTTGTTTAGCCTGAACTCATGATCTAAATTCTAATTCCTCTGCTTTTAAGATGACTATTGACCACATTACAGAAGTATAGCCATCATAATCTAAAAATCAAGGTATGAAAATAAGTAGAAACAAATATTATTTAAAGTAACTCTACAGGGAGCAGAAATGAGCACACAAATTTTTCAAAACAATACAGTGAAAAAAACCCAAAAATATTATAAAATAATGTGCAGTCCTCAACTAATATAGTTGAAATCACAGTTTCATTATGTCATGGAACCTAGGGGCAAAGAGTCCCAAATAATGAGAAAAGTAGAACGCATTTAACCATTACAGTCCTTTGGAGAATACATAATATTTGGATAGATTTGTGGGGTTTTGATTAATAAACTAATTTATTTAGATATATGCATTCCTTAAAAAAAAAAAAAAAGTAAAAGGAAACTGCAACAAAAAACTTGAGGGTGGTCTAAGATGTTTGTCTTCTTTATGTAACCTTGTGCATTTTGTGTTTAAGAACTGACATTCCAAATGATTTGCTTTGGCTTTATGCCTGGACTAAATAGTGAGGCAGCAAATTAGGAATGCTTAAGAAGTCTCACAAAGAAAGATGTTTGCTAAGTGCACCTAATGTGACACTTGCACTGGAAGCTTCTTAGCTTCTTAGCTTAGCTGATGAAAGAAGGCATGGGTCTAGGTGGTGTGAGGGGAGTGAATGTAAACTGAAAAGTACCATCTAGTGAGCTATACAAGGTATTTCTTGCGGCCAGTGGTCTGCCACTGTGACTATGCTGATACTACCTCTTATTTCTATTCCAGGGGCTAACTTTGTTACTCGAAAAATTAGCCGATCGGTAGCAAAGATTCATCTTGGACAGCTGGATTGTTTTAGCCTGGGCAATCTGGATGCTAAGAGAGACTGGGGCCACGCCAGGGACTATGTTGAGGTAAGCCGTGGGCCACATGACTTCTTCTGAATCGTCTTCGTGGTGGGGATAACGCTCATTGCTGTAACTTCAGGTCATGGTCCATGGAGGACCATCTCAAGATGGTTTTGCCTATTGAGGCCTGTTAACTTTGTCTTTCTCTTGATTTTAGACTAGGGAATTTAGTAACACAGCAGTCTACCCCAGGCATGACCTGAAAAGAAAAATAAATCTTTGGGTTTACATTCCTTGACTGAATTCCTGGGGAAGGGGCCTGACTATAAAGTGGGTCTATTTTAGAGTATTTCTTCTATTGTTTTGACAAATTTTATTAAGACGCAAAATGCAGTATGACCTGAAGTCAAAGATCTTGCTGGCATTTGGTGGCCTTTATTATTATGAGACAAGAGTGATGTATATATTAATCATCAAAGGTCTAACTGGTTATACATTAGAAAGAAGCATGACAACATAGTTGTGATGGCAGGTATTGCGACAAATGTGCCTGCATGTACTGTTCAAAATATTTTCATAACCAGAGTTTGTTTCTAATTTTATTCCATGCATCTGCTCAAACAGACAAACAAACAATACCCCTGTATTGTATAACAAGGAGACATGAATGACCATGTAGGAAATATTGTCTTTTCCCCAGGAGACTTTTGTCCCCTTTTTGGTGCTTAAAGATTTCCTGTGGTCATTGGACTATTTCTGTCTTTTAATAATTCCTTGCTGGGAAACCGGATTTGGTTTCACCATTCATTGATGTAGTTTAAAAAGATGATGACTGTTTGTTGTTGGTTTTTTCTATATTACAAAGTAAGAAGTATTTCACTAGGAAAAAGTCTGATTTGGGATTTTATTGTAAGTTGAGATTTAAAAGGTAAAATAAAAGCTGAACTCTCAAATCTTGTTTACGGTCAAAAAAAATTTAAAAACCAACCAACCAAAAAACCAACAAAACAGAGCAAGAAAACAAAATGATGATTTCAAAAAAGTAAACAGTCATATCACCTTGGCATCAAAAGTGTTACATCAAGTAAGCAAAGAAGGTGAATTCTGGCAGCTGGCTATAAATAAAGTTGTGATTTGGTTCTGCACTGTATTTACATGTAGCGTGGTAAGGGTAGCAGG